TCGCCCAGTGAATTTCCCGGCCGTGGGCACGGAGCAGGCAACGACGCTGCCCACGGGGCTTTGTGCTTTGCTCGACAGGATGCTCGCCGTGCGTGGGCGCAGAGCGATCCCCGCGCCCGTGGCGGGGGGGGGGGGTGGGGGTGGGGGGGCTGGTGTTCCCTCAAATCCCCCTCCTGCAAACGGTTTCCCCGCGGGAGCGGCCGCAGGTGCTGCGAGGGGCCGGGCCGCAGCGCGGAGCGTTGAGTGGGGACACGCACACGGGTGGCCCTGGAAGCGGCAGGGCCGGGCCACTCCCCGCGATCCCGGCCGGGTTTTGCCGCTTTTGCCGTTTTTTTTTTTTTGGGGGGGGGGGGAGGAGCGGTGGGGGGGGCGATAAGCAGAACTGGGGGACCCCCCCGATCCGCACCTCGTTATCCGATAAGTAAATCCCGCCGGACGCGGCTGCAATCCGCGTTACAATAGACCCAGCGCGGAGGTTACGCGCTTCTTCCTCCTCCCTCCGCGTCTGAGCGCGGCCGGGTGCGGAGCGGAGGGGCAAGGAAGGGATTTCTGCCCCCTCGCAAACTTCTCGTGATGGTGAATTGCTTTCATTTCTCCCCCCCCCCTCCTCCCCCCCCCGCCACTCAGGTCCGCGCTGCTTCTGACCCTTCCCCGCGAGTTTCTGCCTTGGGGCGGCTCCGCCGAGGCTCCCCTGGCAGCAGGCCGGGAAGGCACCGAAAATAAGGGGATTTGGGGGTTTTCTGGGGCTTTTTAGCAGCTATTCGGGGCAAGCTAAGAGCCTCGGAGCTGCCCTTGGCCATGCCCCGGCCGAAACCCTCCTCCCGGCCCGGGCACCCGGCTTTATTTTTTATTTTTTTGCCAAGGAATCTTTTAAATTTATTTATTATTTTTATTTTCCTTATTTTTCTTAAAAATACGCATCCCTGAGGTCTGTCCTTAATTCCCCCCATTGGCGCGGGGAAGGAGAGGAGGTCGTGCTCAAATGTTACACGGAAAAAATAAAATCGTGCAGCGGTTGGTTTTTTTTTTTTTTTTCGGTTTGTGCGTGAATTCCCGGCACTTGATACCCGCCAGGTCAGGTCCTGCCCAGCTCAGCTCCATTTTTAGCCCTGGGCAGCCCCCCCCAAAATAAGTTTTTTCTTATGCAATGGTCTGCGTGCTAATTTTAGGGCTGGAAATCTTAAAATCTGTCGTGAATCGTGTGATCCCGCGATCGCGGCAACGGCTCCTTGTATTTATTGGCGTTTTTTGTCTGTCTTCAGTTTGCCTAAAGCGACTTTATAGAAAAGCAGCAAAACGTGGAGCAGGTTTTTATTTGCTAATGAAACTCAAAATACACCCGAACATCTTCTGCAAATCGCTGGTGTCCTACCCTAAATCCTCCCGGATCGGAATGTGTCTAACGCGATGTTAATATTAAAAAAAATAAATAAAAAAAAAAATGCACTGTCATCGGGATAATCCCAGGGAGAATATAAGTTTGAAAGCTGAATCCGTGTCTTTGCAGCGTGTCTCGGGATAAATAGCAATATTTGTCGTGTTTCCTCTTTTGGCGGGTTAAAAAAATAATTTTAATTTCTGCAGGACCCTAAAATATAGGGTTTTTTGGTTTTTTTTTTTTTTTTGTTTTTTTTTTTTTTTTTTTTTTTTACGTGGATTTAATAAAAAGGAGAATAAAAACAGGGGAAGGCGTGTGGCTGTGTCCTCAAAAACCCGTCTCAGCGAGGGTGGGGAATGGTTAAAGTCGGGCCCGCCGGGCCCCCGCGGAGCCACTTTGCGACCGGCCACGCGTGGGGGCTGCGTGGGCGCCCATCTCGGCGTTGCCGCTCTTTAACCGTCCCCCTCCGTCTCTTCTCTTCCAGGACAGCCCCGCGGCTCCGGCTCCGGTCGCTGCTTCACCCCCAGCCCCGACGGCTCTGCCCACGGGGGAACAGCCGCTCGCGTGGGGAGAGCGGCCCAGGTGGGTCACGGGGGAAAACGCGGAGGGAGAAATCACGGGGGACACCTGCCTCGGAGGGGCGAACGGCTCGGGGAAGTGGTCGGAAAGGGCCGTTTGCCCTAAATTGCAGCTTGGGAGCTGCAATTCGTGGGGTGGCTTGGGGGGGGGGGTGGGGTGGGTGCCCGCGGGTGCCCCCAGGGGAGTCCCCGATGGGTGCTGCGGGCCCCCCGCAGTGAGCAGTCGGCAGGATGTTCCCGAATTCCGCCGGTTTTCCCCCAACCAGGGCTGGAAATGAACACGGGGGGGGGGGGCGGGGGGAAAGGCTCACACCCCCCCACGCCCCCCCCAAAAAAAGCCCTTCATGCAGCTGGGGGGTCACAGGTTGGAGGCCACGGGGAGGGTCCAGGGCGGGGCAAAGCCCCAGCCCTGGGGGGAAGCGGGACCAGGCTGCTGGGACACCCCCGGGGTAGGTTTGGGAGCCCCCCCAGGGTTGGGATAGTGCCACCCCAGCCCCTTCCCTGCTCGCCCCGTGGGTTTTATTGCCCAAATGTCCCCTGTCGTCCTTTCCCCACTCCCAGGGCTGTAACACTGGGCCTGACGGGAGCCAGACCAGTGGGCTCCTGTTTTCCCAGTGGGGGCAACTGGGAGAGAGGGGCCCGATGGGGGAGGATGTGCCACTGACCGTGCAGCAGGAGAATGTGGCTCTGGGAAGGAGGGAAACCTCATGAATACTGTCCTGCCCCAAACCCGCAACCCGCAGCCCCAACCTGGCTGTTTCCACAGTAGGAATAAAAAAAAAAAAAAAAAAAAAAAAAATCAAGGCAAAGAGGAATTTTAAGAGAAAAGGAAAAAAATAAAAAACAAGCCCCAAAACCAAACAACCCGCTCCCAAACACCCGTTCCTGTTTGAGGAAAATTTTTGTTATGAGTTTTGATGCTATCTGTATTCTAACAGGGAAAATCGAAGGGTGATTAATAGAGAGGCTGAGGGGTTCAAAGGGTTCGATTTCCGTCCGGGTCCGCCCAGTGCGGCCCAGTCCGGGCAGTGGCTGCGGGTGGGAGAGGCTGAGCCCCCTGGGAGGCCGGGGAGGGGGATGAGGGTGCTGAGGGTGCTGAGGGTGCTGGTGTTGCTGAGGGTGATGGTAGTGGTGGTGATGATGGTGGTGCTGAAGGTGGTGGTGATGGTGGTGATGGTGCTGCGGGTGTTGCCGATGATTGTGGTGGTGCTGAAGGCGACGGTGCTGAGGGTGCTGAGGGTGCTGAGGGTGCTGAGGAGGGTGCTGAGGGTGCCGGTGGTGGTGCTGGGGGGGTTTGGCCGTAATGACGGTGAGGGCGGTGGGTGTGGGGGGGGTGATGATGGGGAGGATGGTGGCTATGGGGGGGGGGGGGGCTGATGAAGGGGAGGTTGGGGATGGGGGGTGATAGGGATGGGGGGGGGGGGTGGGGGGGTGATGGGTGGCGGCGACGCGCGTGTGCGCGCCGCTGCCGGCCCCTCCCCCGCCCATTGATGAACCGATAGGCGCTGCAGAGGGGTGGGAGTCAGGGCAGGTGACGTCAGGCGGGGCCGAGCCAATGAGGGGCGGCGGCGAGGGCCGGGAGTGTGAAAGCATGAATGAAAAGTGCCGCGCGCCGCTCCCCCCCAGCGCAGAGGCTGCGGGCAGCGGCGGGCAGCAGGTAGGAGCCGTGACCGTGACCGTGACCGTGACCGTGACCGTGACCGTGACCGTGACCGCGGCCCCGCGCTGCCTGCGCGGTGCTCCGCTCCGCGGGAGAGAGGAGCGAAGGGCGGGCGCGGGTGGGTGTGGGTGTCTGTGGAGGGCGGGGGGGGGGGGGGGGGCGGGGGGCAGGCAGCGGAGCCGAGGCGTTTCGGAGGAGCCGGCGCTCCCGCAGCGTGGACGTGCCGCCCCCCGAGGAAGGAGGATGCGGGGGAAGGAGGGATGGAGCGGTGCAGGGGGAGACGGGTGGGAGGGATGCGGGGCTCCCGGAGGAAGGAGAGGGATGCGGGTTCCTCCCTTGAAGAATGGAGGGATGCGGGTTGCCCTGGAGGAGAGGAAGGGTGGAGGGATGGAGGTGCCTCCCCGGAGGAAGGAAGGGTGGAGGGGCGCAGGTCACCTCGAGGAAGGAGAGGGATGCAGGTCGTATCCCCCCCCCCCCCCGCCACCCGAGGAGGGAAGGATGGAGGGATGCGGGTTCCCCGCGAAGGAAGAAAGGACGGAGGGATGCGGTTCCCCGCGAAGGAAGGCGAGGGATGCGGGGAAAGGAAGGCGAGGGATGCGGATCCCTACCGGAGGAAACCTGCGGGGCCCCCCCCCGAAGAAAAGGAGGGGTGCGGGTCCGTGGCCGGGGTTCGCGGTCTCTGCGCGCAGGGCCGGGGTCCTGAGCCGCGAGTAGGAGTCGCTCCCTTCCTCCTTTCCTCCCTTCCCTCCCTTTCATCATTTCCTCTGTGTTTTCTGTGTTTATTCATCGCTTCTGTTCCCCCAGATCTTGGCTGAATCCAAAGCATCACAAGTTATTATTTATTTTAACCGGCAGGTTTTTTCGCAGTCATTTTGTTTAGAGAGCGTTAAACGCATTTATGGGTGGGGAAATGTCCTTTTGGTCTTTTATGCATATTTTAAGTTGCGGGCGCAAATTATATTTGCTTTGATTATTACCAGTTTGAATGCATTAATTTGATAGTTATTAAAAATAATGCGGGCTTAATTCTCAGCACCTGCAGAATATCATTTGGTTTGCAAATGAAACAAATTTAAACGCGGCAGAAAAATAGGCTGCTCCTGCGTGGTTATCCTGTAATTCTGCTCAAAACTGTATTTTCGAGGGGCCTGATCCTGCCTGTCCCATTGATGCTCAGGAGAGCTTTGCCCGGGGCTCGCTGGGTTGCAGGAACAGGGCCACTGGTGTAGCTGTGGGCTGATATTATGGATCTAGCTGCTAATATTTGCATCTCTTTTTATTCGTTTTCCCTCCCTCGTTCCTTCCTTAAAAGCCATGTGCCCCCAGCCCCCCTGGAGAAGAAGAGGTTGGCTTTTTCCTGCTAATGCTGTAGACTTCAGGGGTTGGTTGTTATCTTTGGTTATCTAGCTGTATGAGTGGTGTCAATTCTTCATAAAGCTAGATAACCGAAAGTAAAAATAACCCCATTACACGCCTGAGGAGGATGTGGAGAAGAAAGGAAATTCATCAAAAGGAAGAGGAGGAAGAGAAAAAATGAAATGGAAAAAAAGGAAGAGAAAGGAAATGAGAGGCGGAAAAAAAAAAAAAAACTGGGGAAAAAAGACAACTTTTTGAGACTGGAATTAAAACCCGAGGTAGGATTTTTTTTTTTTTTTTTTCAAAAAAAAAAAAGAACCTATTTGCCTCCTATGATTTTAAGAAACAGTTTACTGATTCTGTGCATGTGAAGAAAACGTCTGTCTTGAGAAAGACAAGGATGTTGCCGCTCTCTCCTCGGCTGTTAACTGTAATTGAATTAACAAAGTAAAACTTCCAATCAGATTATGAATTAGTTAAATCCAGGACACAGACTACAGATCAAGGATGAACTTTCATTGCATAACCAGTCGTATAGCATCAGAGAATCCATAAATCAATACAGATTACTGTGTTGGATTATCTATTTAATAAAGCAGCAACAGAGCAATGTTTATTAATGGTTGTTTTGCAAATATGAGCGCTGAATTATTATTTTTTCTTTTTCCCCCTTCCCCTCCCATTCCCTATCTGTTATATGTTTCATTTTCTTCCCTGACAGATATAACTTGATATCAGGATTAGAAAGAAGGATATGGTGATTTGGAAAATGGTTTCTTGCAGTTTTCTTTGTTTTTCTTCCCTAGTACCTCTATTCAAATGCTTTCTTTCTTCTTTTAACCCTTTGTATATTAGCATTTCTTTGAATGGACTCCAGATTCCAAGATCGGGGTTTTTTTAAAAAAATATCTATCTATCTATCTATCTATCTATCTATCTATCTATCTATCTATCTATCTATCTATCTATCTATCTATCTATCTATCTATCTATCTATCTATCTATCTAATTTGTGTATGAAACCACATGAGACTAATTGGGGAACTTGATTTTATATAATTTATCCTTGCTGAAAATCCATGCTGGTCCTTACCCCTTTCACTGGATCATATGTCAATCTCTTCCTTATGGAAACTGAGATTTTTTTTTTTTTTTTTTTACCTGCTCTACCACAGAAGGGAATTTTGGGTCAAAGAGGTGAACTGGGTGCTTCCCGCTTGCTTTTAATGGTCAGACTGGTTGCCTTAGATGCCACCTGCAAAATACAACAACCTATTTGGGAAGGTGTCTTGATGTTGCTTAGAAGAACACAAAGGTTTTGTGATGGATTAAGATAACATATAATCTCAGAATGGTCATTCCAAGGGGGGGGAAAAAAATCATAGTAATAAAGAACAAAATGTGAGTGACAGCACCTGAACTAATTTTGGAAAGGAGAAATTATAGGATTGCAACTTGATGAAAACTGTCTTGTGAGAGATGTAGAGAAAGAGATGACTTTTGACCTGTGCTGGACCCGCTCGTTTTGCTTATGTGCTCATTGGGATCTTTTTTTTTTTTTTTTTTCTTAAAAAAAAAAAAAACAAACCCACAAAACAGAAAGGCATAAAAAACTGTCCCTGGTACCTTGTTCAGGGAAAGGCTGTAGTTCTGGGTGTAATATGAGAGATTTATCCTACTCATATGATGATTTTAAATTAATAAACAAGATACATTTTCCCCCTCACCCATGGCCCTGTAATTCAGAATAATTTAGTGCTTGTGTTGACACCCTGTAATGATCTGCTTGGGGAAAGCTTGAGGAAAACCTCCTTTCTGTCTTCCCTTTGAGGTTCATCTAGGTGCTGCTATTGTTCCTGGCGCTGTTCCTGCAGCCCACGCCGGCGGTGGCAGGGGCGTAGGGAACTTTTTACAAGCTCTTGTTTTATTCCCCAGCCTCGATGCTGCTCCTCCCTTGGGTGAGAGCAAAGTGCCGCTCTCCTGGCCTGGTGGCTTGTCCCCAGTTGGAAGGGGACATTACAGAGGACAGGGCGATAGGGGACCGGCTCCAGAGAGCATCCGAGCCTTGGTCCGTGGAAGGGGAGAGAGCGTCCTCCATGGATGCTCGTACCCCGAGCAACTTATAGGATGGAGTTGGACACCCTTGGCTTTGGTGGCAGCGGGATGTCACCGCACAGAGCTCTCCTCCTTCACCCCTCCGAGGCAAACCGAGCCGGGAGGAGAACAGTTGCCGGCCGAGCTGGTGCCCACCAGGACTGGGATGTGCCTGCGGGCGGACACCGGCACTTGAGCGGTGGCCCGTAAGCCCTCGGTGGCTCGCCCAGGGACGAGCGCGCAGGGGACGAGGGACTTTTATTCCTGGGCGAGCGCTGGTGAGCTGCCACGTGCCACCCACCATTGGCCGGTGTCTTCGTTCAAGGGGGAGAAAAAAAAAAGCCCCTTTTGGCCAATCAGGGGCTGGAAGCGCTGCGGTGCGATCATCTTTTGGTGTTCCGCGGTGGCCAATCGTGGTCCGTGCGGGGCCAAGGCGGCCCCGCCATAGGCTGATGTTTGATGGTGTCACTTGCTGGGGGATAACAAAGGCACCAGCAGGAACGGGGAGGGGGGGGGGGGGGGATGCGAACTGGGGCGAGGGCGAAAAAACTCGGCGGGGAATTGCGCAACGTAGGGAGCCCGTGCGTGGCGGGGCAGGAGGTGCCCATGCTGGTTGGCGATGGAGGGGATGGGTTAAAAACCCCACCGTGCCCAGCCCGGAGCTCGTGCGCCTCATTCTCTGCTGCAAAAAGGGCCTTTTGAAATGGTCGTGAACCCCGCCTTCACCTCGAGGACACGGCTAAAGCATCCCGAGGTCTTCGCCGTTCCCTCTGTGCTCCCAGTCTGGCAGGGAGAACGGGAACCAGTTGCACCCCACTCGCTGCCCTTCGGTGGGGGCAGATTGTCGGGTGGATCCCGTGGGGGTCGCGGGGCCGTAAGTTTTGCCTCAGCCCCCCCGGAGTCCAGGGGCGCTGTCAGAGCCGCTCGCTCTCCGGGCGGGTGGAGATTCTCTTTTTAATTTGGATTTTTGTTGTGGTGGGTGACCGCTCCCAGCAGCGGGACTGGTTGTGTGGCTGAGAGCTTGGTTCTCTTGAAGGCCTTTGGGAACATGAACTGGAATAGTCTTGCAAACAGCTGATTTTATATTTTTTTTTTTTTTCCCCCTTTTCTCTCCAATTTGTTGCTGGAGTACACCAGTAATAAGAAAGCCCAGTGTGTTGGCATGACGTTGATCCAAATTGCAGCTTACATGTGGCCGTTTAAGCTTGCTTGGACACTATGATTTGACTGGTTAACACTCAGCACTGTCTACTCTGTTCTCCCTTATGGCTACATAACTGCTGGAGACGTTAATAGGAGATATGCTTGCATGTTCTGGATTGAGAGATTAGCTCTCCACGTTCTTTTTCATGCTTAGAAACAGTGTGTTTGGAGGAAAAAAAAAAAAAAGGCGCAAACGCAATACTAATTTTTCTGTTGTTCCGTGAGTCACTGAGAAGAACTAGCCTATACAAATATAATATTTGAAAATTATTAATTTAATTCAATATATCGCTTCCATCCAGGAAAGAGCTAGCAACTGAGTTGCCTTTAGCTCCTGTCTTTAATGCTTATGCCAGGGATGCAGAAATGCTGCAGATCAGTTTTGCTGTTGAGGCCAAAGCCCCTTTGCACCACTCTCATCGTGTGAGCGATGCGCTGCGGCCGGCACAGCAGGTCGGGGACTGGCAAACATGCAGAAATACCCGTGTTGCTCAATGCTGCTAGTGGATATTAACTTTTTTTTTGTGAAGGATAAAACATTTGTAATTTTTACAAATAACATTAGCAAATTCTCAGCCCCAAACTGTGAAAAATAGCTTAAAAATATTTTTAAAAAATCAGGATTTGTTTGTGTTTGAGGAAAGCAGACATTTCCAGGCTGAAGGAATTTTCTGCTGGCTTTTTCCAATTTTAAACTGAAAACAAAAGGAGGCCCTGGTGGCTCAAGCCCTTTGAGGTCTCCACGGAGGATGAATTGCCCCTTTTCCTCCCCAGACTCTCGGTCCCGTGGGCCCCGCGCGCTGTGGGGTGGGCAGGTGTGGAAAGGCACTGCAGTGCAACCACAAAGAGGTCCTATAGACAGGAGATATAGATGTATATTTATATATATGTGTGGGGATCTATATTTTTTGGAAAACTATAGATATGTTTCCTCCCTCCAAGCTCTCACAGCCGGATTTGCATGGGAGATGGGATGGTTTTTAGAGATGCTCTTGAGGCAGGGGTGGGCAGGCGGCGGTGGCTCGGTTGCAGAAGCTCTGTTGCTTTTGGGGTGCTGGGGGTGTGCGATGCTCAGTCCAGGAACTTCGTATCAGGCTGGGTTTGGGGGTGATGCCAAGAGAAAGCGTAAGGCTTCCTGCCACCAGTACCTACAGGGGTCAAAAATGCTTATTGAAGCCTCCAGTCCCTGGACCGGGGCTGAGAGGGGAGCTCGTCTTTGTGCCGAGAACAGAGTCTTTCCTCTTCAAACAATCAGGGCTTCAAAACCCCTGAGCGTTTTCAAGGGAACGATTTTTATGTCGGGATTATGATAAACCGGCTGAGTGGGCGCGCTAAGCCGCCATAGGAATCAGATCAGGCCCTGCTTTAATTTCAGCAAGTGGCGGGTGTGTGGGAACGGAGGCCGGGGTGATGCTCTGAATTAACCGTCTGAGCCCTGGGCCCCAGGGCCCCCCATTTCGGTGCACGGACCAGAGGAGGGGTGCGGGCAGCTGCCTCTTCGTGCTGACCCCGGTCCCTGTCCCCGCCGTGGCTTTGCAGATGGGCCGGCTGCCAGGGCACTTGGCAAGGTGGTTTGCAAACGCCCTGCGATGGCTTTGGGATGTCCAGTAGCAAGCTCTCTATGGCAGGAGCGAAAAAGGAGAGGGGGTTTCTCAAATCCCCTCCCCTGCTCCTCACCCCGGGGTACAAGCGTGGTGCTGGGCAGCCAGCAAATGGGACCGGACGGCTCTCCTGCACCCAGCCTGGGGAAAAGCGGGTGGCAGTGCCCCAAGGCGGGGGACAGCTGGAAGGAAAATGATGAGCTCCGTGGTCTTCAGGCTCCTCGGAGGCGACGGCTCGCCGGCGGGCAGGTCGCTCAGATGCAGCCGGGGTGATTGGATGTGAAAGCGGAGCCGCGGCTCTCGCCGCCTGCGGTGGCAGCTTCGCCTCTCCCCGTCACCCGCCGCCGCTGCGGGAGGTTTTGCTGGCCCAGGTTCATGTGACAGTGCTGCCAGCGTGGCGGGGGGGGGGGGGGAGGACCCTAAAAATAGTCCTGGGGCTGCATTCTGGCTTACCTTGCGGGATCTGGGGGGACAGAGATAGGAAGGGACATGTGCGTGTGAGTCCTGACGCCTCCCTGCTTGCCGCTTTTCCCCCTGTGGTGCAAAATGAAGTGGGAAAGGGTGCTAGCCGATGGGCTTTGGAGCAGGCAGGATCTGACCATCTGCAAACCTGTGATGGCCATGGTTAGTTTTGCAGAAAAAAAGCTGGGAAATCTTGGTTCAGGAGCCCTGTGCCAGGCGGTGCCATGGACCCCCTGAATCCTGGGGCCAGGATGGGGCCGGGGGGGGGATGTCTTTATGTACTGAAGTCTGCAAGGCTAATGGGGAGGCCTTGGATCAGTGCTCCTGGCTGAATCCATCTCTGGTTATCAGTGGATCAGAGTCTCGTGCTGCCGTATAACTCCAGGATTTATCGTGCTACAGCTGAGACCAGACTTGGACCTGGCATCTGTAACTGTAAAGCTAAGCTGTGTAATCCTCACCCAGCAGTGACGGCCGTGGCCTGAGCTTCAGCTTTAACAGCCCAGGCTAGGTGTAAAAATCATTTTAATTCCACTTTCAGGGCTTTTAGTATTGCCAGAGCAGGGACAAAGCGGGCAATGCCAGGATGCTGGTGCAGGAGGAAGGAGCATCCACACTGGGTGCATCTGCTGGGTTTAACTGCTTGGTCTTGTGCGAGGAATTTTTGCAGGCAGTTAGAGGGCATGAGGTTGAGCTTGTTCTGGGACAGGGAGAAAAGGCAGACTCTTAGAAGGGAAAAAAAAAAATGCAGCTGATTAATAAGTGTTGGGGATGCAAAAGACTGGGTATTCATTGCTGTGGTGGGGTGGCTTGGCCCTGAGCCTTGCGTGTTGCTCCGTGGGGGCTGTTGGCTCATCCTGTGGCCTTGCATTGCTCAGGTAAATGCAGGTAAACCAGGTTTAATTTGACCTTCAGCAGGTTCCTGCCTGCTGGAAGCTCAAAAGTCATCCCTTTAGGGGAAAAAATAAAAGGCTCCTGGATCAGTGCGTGAGTTACGGGGAGGGAAGAGGGGGTCCCTCAGATGCTCGTCACACTTTTGGAGGCACTGGGTGCTCTTTGGAAAGGAGGGAGAGATTTCCCTGAGGAGCCTGCTTTGTTTCATCTGTTCCTCCCCCTCTGGCTTTTAGTAAATTCCTACTATTTTAGGTAAGAGTGAAATATTCAGCTTTTACGGTATTTCATAGGAGTGGATTGTTTTAGGGATTCCTGGGCTGAACCGGGCAGGAATGCATCTGGGCCAAATAACCTTTCTCCGGCATCAGCAGGCACCAGCTGCTTGGGAGAAAAGTGCTTGAAACCCTACAATTATAGGATAATGTATTCTGAGAGAGTTTCTCAGCTTTCTGTCCCTGAGCTGGAGAGTTTATATCTCCTCCCTGGTCCTTGTAAAACGTCCCTAAACTTGGGTGTTCTCGCCATCCGCTCCTCGATGGTGCTGGGAGTAGGGGCATCCCGCAGCGGCGATCTGCAGGGGCTCAGGGCTGAGCAGGAGGAAAAAAAAAAACTACATTTTCTAGCATTTGCTTTGAATTTGCCTCTGTGCCCCCTGTTTTGGGGGAGGAAACTTGTCTTTGAAAAAGGCTGGAAGTGCACTGGCCTCCGCAGCCACATATGGAGTCAATGGAAAAGCCGTGGGGGGAATTAGGAGTGTAACTTTGATTGTTTATGGGAATTAGGCACACAATTCACTCAGGAACTTTGATTAATCCTGCAAGGCTCTGATGATATCCAGAGGACTTTTCTATGTGCTGGGGCTTGGCCGGGAGGTGCAGGGTTTGACCCCTCTGGCTGCGGGGAGGTTTGAGGGCTCGGGATGCTTCGCTGGGCTGGCCATGCACCACAGAGGATGGGTGGCCCTGGGCCACTGACCCACCTCATGATTTTGCAGACAAACCCCATTCTCTGGAGGATTTTCTCCCTTCTTCCCCTTTGTTTTGGCTTTGATCAGCAAAACCCACCCAGCCTCTGTGCTTTTATTTTATTTTTTTTTTTTTTTAATTTTTTTTTCTAATGAAAAGAAAGTTCTGTTTAATCTTAAACCCATCCATCTCTAGGAGCCTCAGCAGGGCTGGGTGGGTTTCTGAAGGGAGAGCTTTGCCACAGAGCTGTGCACCTTCTCGATGCTCCTTGCTTGAGATAACTGCTTGTTTTTGGAGAAGCAGGGAGCAAGAGGAGGCCTTGCCTGTGCTGCCTGGCCCCGCCGCCCATCTCGGCCGAGGTTTTTTCCAGGGCAAGCCAGCGGTGAGGCCGGGGTGAAGGCAAGCTGCCTCCCTCCTCCGGTGCGAGGGATGGCCACGGAGCAGGTTGCCATGGAGAACCGGGATTATTCTGCGCGTGTGTACCGGGGCGGGGGGGAATATCGTAATTTTTTTTTTTTTTTTTTTTTTTTAAACATTTGTGATGGAGCGCGATGCCGCCAGCGGCCGTGCTCACCCGACCTTGGGAGCTGCAACCTCCAAACCCCATCCCCATCCCCTCCTCCCTTACTTCTGCAGCCCCAGCTCCTGCACCAGCTCCTCCATTGGACTCTTATCTCCAATAATCCCCCCGTAAGAGGGCTTTCTGCTTGTTATGACACCCAGTGAAAGCGTGGGAGAAAGATCCTTTCTTCGCCCTTGTCCTCCACGGCCAGCCACTAGCCTGAAAGGGAGGCTTTTTTGTGTCTCTGTGTGCCTGACTAATTGAGCTGAAGGACTTGCGTCTGGAAGGGCTTGAAAGGGACTTTTGTTGCCGCTGCGGAGTTTGTGGAAGGCGAATGAGCCCTGCTTTCTTAGGGGACGTGGGTCCTGGGCAAATTTGACTCTCGAGTGCTCACGCCCCTCCGGTTCTTTGGGAAAATTAGAAAAAAGGGTGGTGGGCTTGGTGGTTTCTTTTCTTGTGGGGTTTTTTTGGAGGGGTATCAGCAGCCCCAGGCGCTGGAAAATTGAGTCTGGCAAAAAAAAAAAAATCTGGCCCTGGAAAGGTTGGTGAGCTGGCTTTAAAAAAGAGCATGGTGAGATGTATTAAAACTGGTTAAAAATAACAGTATCAGGAGCCTGTGCCTCCAAAAATAACAGTATCGAGAGCCTTTGCCTCCTGCTTTTTTACGGACTGATAATCAAAACCCCAATCCTTTCTGTGATCCCAGGGGAAATTGCTTCATGGTCTAAGGGCACTTCCACATCCCGTTGCATCCCGAGAGGTGATAAGCATCGACTATCGTGAGGCAGTTTGAGTCGCCACTGCAAAATTCCTCTTTTCCTCTTGTCCTTGATGGGAGTGGTGAAAAGTCAGGATTCTCCCGGCAAGTACTTTAGCGAGTGTTTGGTGCAGGGTCATCCTGGCACCGGTGAGCATGCAGGAGGGATGCCTTCTGCTACCTAGAATAGCCCCAAACCCAGATCTGTCTTAAAAAAAATCCACAAAAGTCCTCCATGATAGGAAACCCAAGAGATTTGCCACAGCCATTTGGGATTTTAAAGGCTTTTCTCTGCTGGATAGGTTGGTTTGGGGTGGCTGCTGCCCCATGTCCCATCCCGAGGACTCGGTGCTTCCACTTGTCTCTCTCCAGGATATTTTCTTCCTGTCCTTGCTAATTTTTCTTGATCGGATGCTGGATTCATTCAAAGAGCAGCAGTGCCTTCTCCCAGCCCGTTTTTTCCCCACAGCGAGGCTTAGGAAAAGCCCTGCGCAAAACCCAGCGCTGAGCATCCCACCTGGAAATGACCCCCCCCCCCCAGCAAAGAGGGAAAATGGGACTTTTGGGGGGAAAACAGGGCTTTTTGGCAGAAAAGAGCCTGGCATGTGGCAAAGGCTGGGCAGTCGCTTGTGGCTTTTTAAATGGTTGCTGGTAAAAATGGGGAAGAAAGCGGCTGCACGGGGGATTTTGCTCCCCTTGCACACTTCTCTTGGGACGTGCAGGCCCTGGGCCTCGTTGAGAAGCTGCTTGAAATTATTGTCAAGAAATATGTTTCCTTTGCCATTTTTTCTTTTTTTGCCCCCTCTTTTATTTTTTTTTTTTTCCTTCTTTCCAGCCATATTCCAGAGCCCTGTGCACAAGGAATTGCTGTCAAAGCTGCCAGGCTCCATTCCACCCCCTGTGTGGATAAACACTCCCAGCGTGTGTTATTTGGCAGTCGGTTTCTAATGCAAAGTGATTAAAACATTTTGAAAGTTGAATTTTTGATGGGGTGGAGATGTAGAGGCTGAAAATGTCCACAGCACCTCTTTTTCTCCCCCGTGCTCAGAGGCTGCAGCCTGGTGCCTTTGGGATGTAAAAATGCTGGAGCTTTCCAGGGCCAAAGAGGTGCAGCAAGGATGGGGAACAAACAGAGCAAATCGGTTTGAAATAAATGTGATTAATGAAATTTGATGGAGAAGGGAGGTGAAGGAAAAGAGAGGAGAATGAATAGGAGCCCTCTTCGGGGAAAATAAATAAATAAATAAATAAACTAAAAATCAGTTTTGAAAATGGTGCCTAACCCCTTTCCATGTGACCTCGCAAGGGAGGTTTTAAGAAATCAAGCAATTTCTGCAGTGCTCCTTGCTGGCACCGTGCTAAAAACACAAACTTGGTTTTCTTTGCAGCAGCCTGAAGCCCGTCCTGCCGCAGCTCCAGGGATGCCTTTGACACCAGGTATTTGCTAAGTGAATCCTAACTAGTTACCATCCAGAGTAAATGACAATTTACATGCTATTTGTGTGCTCGTAAGGAAGCATTAGAGAAGTTTGCTTTCTCAGCACTGTGATATGATAATGATGTTGCATATTAGTCATTAGCAATAAGTAGCTGTCAGTGCGAGCCTCGCCGGCTGGGCACACACTGGTGCACCCACCAACATCCCTCCAGCCCTTTTTTCTGCACAGGACTTGGCTTTCTCAGCCTCCATTTTTATTTATTTATTTATTTATTTATTTAATATAAAAATTCCAATATTAAAAAAAAAAAAATCACCCCGTTCCAGTTTTGGAATTATGTGTGAACCTGGAAATTGGAGTCGAAAGCGGATTAAGGGAGCAGAGCAAGGCTCACAGATGTCAAGCTGCCAGTGTGCTGGAGGCCAGAAGACAAATAAAAAACCCCAAATTGCTGATAATCCTGGGTTTTTTTTTAATTATTATTTTATTTATTTATTCCCCCCCTCATTTTTTTTTTTAGTAGGGAAGGGCCTGACTCACTTTTTTTTTTTTTTTTTTTTGACCCTCGAGGTTTGCCGGGTGCTGAATATTTTACACACTGCAGAGGCCTTACCAGGCTGGGAGCAGATTAATGAAATAAAAAGGTTTATTTTTTAATAACTGTCCAGTAGTTCTGGGTTCATGCATTTCAGAGCACACCAGACTGCCTGTAAAACAATAATTTTTACGGTGTCTCTAGCCAGACCCCTCCCAATTTGAGAAAATTCTCAAATTTGGGAAATTCTTGCCCTAGCACAGATTATTGCTCCTGCCCCCAACAGCTTCCAGTTTAAATAACAAGAGTTTTTGAGCAGATGGAAAAAAAAAAAATGTGGGTATTGGAAGGAGCTATAGAAAATAACAGAAAAATCAGGAGGTTTTAGCGCAGATGAGGCATAATTCTTAGGCAAACCACAGCAATAATATTAAAATGCATTACTATTGCTGATCAATAACAGCATTGCTATAAAATATTTAGAACTATGCAATGCCTCTATTTCTCTGCTTTGCAGCTCATTGTAATATTCATAATTCCTGCAATCCCTACGTTTGCTGAGTGCGGGGTTATGCCCCCGGGATTTCTCTGTTTCAGTTCCCAGCACCGAGGCCTTTGCGTTTTGGGGGCGGGAATGGGGGGAATTGGGATTTTTCCAGAGGTTTCAGAAGAGCGGGGTGGCGGTCCCACGAGTCGTGCTGATGCCGTGCACGTTTCCGACACGCTGGGAGCATCCCGGGGCGGGACAGGGGGATGCGGATCGGGCCCTGGTGCCCCCTCTGCTCCTCCCCCCCTCCCTGCCCGCAGGATTCCGGGCTCATCCAGCACTGGGCGAAACTGTGTCATTTTTTTTTTTTTTTTTTTTTTTTTCCCCGCAATGCAAAAGCCAAAAAAAAACCCCGAAGCATGGGATTTCAGTGTGGTTCGTGACTTTTTTTTTTTCTAGCAGACGAAGAGACGGTGGCTCAGTGCCCGTCCCGGCGAGCGGGGTGGATGTAAACAGCCGAACCCTCGTGGCTCCATAACCTTTTGCCGATGCATCGCAGGGAGGGTTCCAGCTTCTGCCGAGAGCGGCCTGCTTTTCCTTTATTTTTCTTTATTATTTTTTACTTTTTTTGAATTAATATTTTTCTCTTTTTTCCTTTTTCTTTTTATTTTTTTTATTTTCCTTTTTCTTTCTTTCGCTTTCTTTTTTTTCATTCTTCTTTTCGCTTTCCTTTTCATTTTTTCTGTTTTCCTTTTTTTTTTTTTTCTGTTTTCCTTTTTAATTTTCTTTTTGTTTTTGTTTTCCTTTCTCTTTTTTCCAATTCTGCATTTAAGCCTGCTTTGTCTCCTGCCAGCGCGTTTAACGAAGGGGCAGCCGCTCCCACACCAATTTTTTTTTTTTTTTTTTTTTTTTTGTTGTTGGGATTTTTTTTTTTCTGGTGCTTTGTTCCACCCGACTCCCTCCCCAGGGACCACGGGGCGCCCACTGAGGGGTGCAGGTCGGGGTGCTCAGGGATGGACGGGGAAACACAAAGCCCCAAGGAAGACACGGGGCTCTTGTTATCCTGGTCATGCGCGAAAGAGTTAACCCATTAGAAATTCCGAGCCCTTCTTCCGATAGTTAAACCTGATTTGCATGCATTTGCATAATGAATGTCATTTGCATTCTTGGAGGTTGGCTACTTCTGTGGGAAAAGTCAAAGCGGGATTGCGGGGAGGGCGAAGGGGGGTCGGCGAAGAAAGAAGGGAAGATTTTTTTTCCCCGCACCCCACGCGCATCCCTGCTCCTCGCCATCCTCGCCCAAATGCTCTTTTTTTTCCCCCTTCTTTCCCCCCATTTTTTTCCCCCCCTCGATGCCTTCCTGCCTCTCCCTTCCGCAGGACGCACAAAAGCCAACGGCAGATAGGCCGTGTCGAGGCGAAGCGCATCCTTTCCCTCTCCCCCCCTTCCCCTCCTTTAATTTCTCCCTCTAATTCCATCTTGGCTCCTGTTCCCGGCGCCCTCACGCGCGGGGGGCTGCGGCCCCTCTCCCTCCCCTCCCCGCGGGTGCATGCGTGCTGAAACGGTAGCAGAAAGGGGGAAAAAAAAAAAAAGGTGGGAGCCACCATTTTAGGCAGCTGACGTGTAAAATGGCCGATTCTCTTCCCCCCCTGGTCCTCGCCACGCGGTCGGCTGCATCCCCGCAGCATCCCGGGGACGGGGCCGGGGATGGATCCTGCCCGCAGCACCCCAGGTACCACGGCCTCGCCGCGGCCTTGGGCTCCGTGGGGTGCTCGTCCCGGCCTCGGCCGTGGGGATTTTCCTTTTCCCGCCGGCGATGGTCTTGGCACGGGGCGTCGTGGCCACGAAACACCCCCCCACTCCCCCCAACCCCGGGCCACGCGCAAAGCACCAACCCACACCCAAAAATCAACCTCCTTTTGTTTCATCTTCAGTTTTCACAGCAGGGATGGTACTGAAGGCGAGTGTACAGTCTTTTTTACCAGATTGTTGCTTTTTTTTTTTTTTTTTTTTTTTTTTTAATTATAGTTTAAAATGACCTCCACACCACATGGGGATATTGTGGGTTTTGAGGCTCGGCTGCAGAATTTTTTCCTAGTCTCAATAGATGACATTTATTTTTTTGTGTATTGCAATAGTATTAGGGAAACAGCTGTTTAATTTATTTTTTTCCCCGTTTTTTGGACTATAAAATTTAATTTTTCGGTTGTTGAGACCATTTCATAGCTCTTTAGGAGAGGGTGGGGAAAAATCAACGTGAAACGAGTTTATTCACCCCGTCCTTGTGCGTGATGGGCAGAGGCGTGAGAGGCTTCACCTGGCCCAGATGATTTGTGGGTACAAAGTTATTGCACTAAGGTGAATATGAGAGGGGAAAACTCACTTTATACAACATACAACCTGGTGGGGTGTGAACTGATTAATTTTATTACAGCACTTGAAATATTTTGGGGTGTTTTTATCTGAAGATCCCGTTGTGAGAGGCTTGTGGTTACATGAGGCTGGGTTTGTTGTTCTTTTTAATTTCTCCCCATCCCTCTGTTGCCATGAGACCTAGAAACTGAAAAGCCTAAATACACCAAGCGAGTTTAACCCTGGTGCAATGGGAATTTTGAAAGCAGATTAAAAATAAGCAGAAATTTATCCTTAGAAGGAAAATAAATCACTACTTTTTTTTTTTTTTTTTTTTTTTTTTTTTCCTGGTGGGCTGGTGTCGGAGCCCCAGCCGTGCCTGGCTGGGGTCATCCCCGCGGGGAAACGCTGCTCGGCTCAATCCTGGTCCCTGGTGGGGTCTGAAAGGTGGGAAGGGATGGGGAAGTGTCACCATCAGATCCCTTTTGGTGGCCTTGGCCACTGTCCCCGGGGATGGTGACGCTCCGAACCCGAAGCAGAGCGGGGTCACAGGGTGTCCCCGGCCCGAGCTGCGAAGGGTGCGCACCCCACACTCCCCTCCGCCGGCCAAACTTGCTCATTCAGGAATGGGAAATACTTTCTTAAAGCTTCCAAAAATGCAGTAAGGCTCTTAGCGATTTGGCTAAGCTGCATCTACTTAGTTGATTTCTCACTGCTTTTATTTATAACCTTTGGTCCGTGCTGGGGGGATTTTTATTTTTCATTTTTATCTTTTTTCTCATTCTTACCCTGGGATGAAGCACACTGGAAGTGGGGTTGGAAGGAGAAGACTGGTCTGGGCATCCCTGCTCTGCTCCCACCAGTGCCACTCTTTGCTCTTCATCACTTCATTTCCACAGAATCGGATTGTCTCTCTGATTTCTGTAGTGTTATCCATGATTTATGGGACTAATGGGCAGGAGAAAAGACTCTTTCTCTGGCCCAAGTGCCTTCCTGTGTTAAACAAGCCAAGTAAATTCTGCACTGGGCGTTTAAATCGGTGTGTAGCCTGTGAATAGCCGTGGATGAAAGTAGAGCTTATACAGATGAAAAATATATAAAGTGACTATTAATATAGTGCTAAAATAAAAAATAATTCTGTAAGCGTGCTCCAAAGCAATACGGAGCGGTGGCTGGCAGCACGAGGGGCGCGGCTGCTCGGTTTTGTTATTTTTAGGCGGTGCCGGTGCCGGTGCCGGTGCCGGTGCCGGAGCTCTCCCCCGTGGTTCCTACTGCAGCAACAAGGGGAAAACCCCGCCGAGCGCCGGGGTTGAGGTCACGGGGCTCCTCGGTCGGCCGCCGGTTTCCCTCGACGCGGCTCCCTGACGCTTCCCCTCCTGGCGCGGTTTTGGAAACGCGCAAGGACGCTGCGAGTTTCCCAACTGGCTTCTCTCTTCCTCCTTCCCCTTTTCTGCCAGAAACGTGGCCGTAATCTCCCTGTTCTGGTGTAATCCAGCCAGAGGGGGACAGGGCTGACATTTAACGCGCTCCCATCCTCTTTTCTCTCTCTCCTGTCAGGGAGGAGCGTTCACCCACGTTCACCCCCCCCGTGATGCTCTGCTCATTTTCTGGCTGGCGAATCGCAGGTCTCTGGCCCTGGTGAAAGTTTGCAGGGAATTTCCTGGTAAGTGGATTGATCGATTGATTGATTTTTAAAGGCTTTCCATAAGCTCTTAAACTGGGCACTCTCTAGCACCAGCACACCACCCGGATGGGCTGAGTGTCCCTATAGCAAATACTCGGGGACTGGTGCGAGACCCCAGTGACCATATGATGGGGAAAAAGAAGGGCCAAAAATCTCTGTGATCACCAGAACCTTCCTCACTGTCTACTTGGCCCAAAGTCTCAAACAATTGGGGATTTTTGTTCTATATTTAATTTCTGTTATCTCAGGTTTGTTAGCTTGTAATCCTCAAACCCCGTGAGAGGTATCTTCCCCCCCTGCAGGAATAAAGGGCTCCTTTTGGGGTCCTTTTGAGGGTTTTTTGTCTTTTAGATGGAAAGAGAGTAATAAAGGTGTTTCTGTTGCTTTTGTTTTTAGCTCAGATCAGCTCACTATAACATGAACCCAGGACTGGGGGCTATATGGAAGAAAAAAACAACCTCCAAAAGCCGCGAGAGCCTGGCCATGCAGGAGCTGCCAGCAGGACCTGTCTTGTGGGACCCTCAGCAGAAGCCCCTCACCATGGCTGATCCCACACCCTCCTCTTCCTCCTCCTGCCAGCAGACCCTGGCCTGGAGCACGACGTAGATCGCGATTTGCACCAGCATCCACCCAGGCTGCTCGGGGCTGCAGGCCAGCACGGGGACACCAGCACCTCTTTGGGGACGGATGGGGTGGAGAGGACACCAGGATGTCCCCATCCCGCCGCTGCGCATCGCCCCGTGGGCAGCTCGCTGGTGAGACCAGGGTGGGATGTGGGTACCGCTCCGGCGGGTCGCATCGGGGCGCGGGGATGCCACAACCATCGAGGGATGGGGTTTGCAGGTAGAGCCCGTGCCAGTGGGCAGCTGGCCTGAGGCAGAGGTGATGGGCAGGGGGAGAGGGGCTGGGAAGGGACAGTGCATTTATTAACGAGGCGCAGCTGAAGCGGGTCCTTTGCCAGTGGTCAAGTCTGAATCACAAACTCCGCATTGTTTCCGAGTGGGTTCAGCACATTTCCCTTCTCCCCCTCCCTTCCCCTTTCCTCTCCTCTCGCCCTCGTACAAAGATGTCATTGTGCCGGGGACTTGGTGATGGCAGCGTTGTTATTTGGTCAAAAAAAAAAAAAAAAAAAAAAAAAAAAAAAGAAAAGAAAGAAGTGGGGAGGGGGGGACCCAACAAGGTGAAGAGGTTTAAATCAGCTTAGCCCAAATGCCAATTAAAAACCAAAGAGGATTAGGCTTGTGATCAGCAGAATAGACAGTCATTGTACCCGGACGAGGGGGTTTCCCCCCCCAGGCCCGACGCCGTGGTGCCGCAGGTTTCGCTGCTGATTGTCACCGCTCTCCTCTCGCGGTGGGATGGAGAGGTGCAGGGGCTGCCCTTGACCCCCGGCAGCCGGGCTGCCCGCACCCGCCGGAGCGCTCGCCCGTGGCACGAAGCAGCGAAAGCCCTACGGGTTTCTGGTGCAAAGACCTTTTTCTTGATTTTTTTTTTTTTAAGTGTAAGCAAGGACTCTTGCCTTGGCTTGAGTTCAGCCGAGCAAGGAGAGGTCTTGCTCCCTCTGCCAAGGGGGAAGGTCTCCCCTGAAACTGGCCCTTGGTCTGAGCGTGTCCCTCAGCCGCGAGTTGGTGGAGGGCGCCGGGAGCGAGGTGCTGTCTGTGTGTCCGGGCAGACGTCGTCCCCACCTCGCCAGAGCTGGATGGGCAGCCCTGCTCCGGCACACCCAGGCGCTCGTCCTGGCTCAGAGCTCTCGGCGGCCGCTGGACCAGGCTGTGGGGGCCATCGGCCAGATCTCTGCTCCCGGAGCAACCAGGATCACCTCTGGGCCCAGGGAGACAGCGGAGCGGTGCCGGGAGCATCACACGGGCTGTTCTCCAGCTCAGGGAGACCCAGAGAAGACTTTGCACTTCTCTGCACCATGGCCTGGAGATGACTTCTTGGTGCTTTCTGTCTGGTTTAGTCCTCCTGTGCCATCCGCTTGCTCGCTGCTCGCATGGTTTGAGGTCTAATGTAGCCAGAAACCGTGGTCCTTGTAGCATCCTCACCTGCGGGAAAGGAACCTGGGATGGGTGAGGCGGGTCTGGGTGCTTGCTTGGATGTTTGCCCATGCTCAGACTCCCACAGCTCACCCAGCTCTAAACATCTCTCCCAGTACATCAGTAAACGGGTAAAACCCCAGGAACAGAGAGATGCTCTGTACCGACATGGCTGCTGTTAACAGTGATGAGAGTTTTGGGGAGAAAGTGTAATGACATGCTAATTTTAAGGCTTTTTTGGAAAGCAAAGTTACCAAGCATAGGTGAGAGCCAGGCCCAGCGGCGAGACATTTAAGGGATATAGCAACAAATTGTGATGGAGCTTCAGCACCTCCATGTCTGGGTCTCGGTGGGCTCAGCCTGAGTCCCCCTCCTCTTTTAGCCTGGTGCTTCCTGGCAGTTGAGGGTGCAAAGGGACCCCCTGCACGTCTGTCCTGCCTCTTCCTGGGGTGTCTGCGGGATGAACCCTCTCTGTTAAGGGGGACCATGGCCTGGCTGAGGTGTCCCTGGCCCTTGGTGGATCCCGCTGTCCTGCTTTGCATGGGAACGCAGGGATGGCAGCGATGGAGCCTGGTCCGGCCCCAACCAGCACTGGGTAAAAGCTCGTGGGAGAAGCTGAGCTGAGACGTTGCCACCATCAGCTCTAGCTGCAAAATGCCCCCGGCCTCGAGCCACAGAGAGGAAAAAGGAGCAAAATGGTCCTTTTCCCTGAAGAGCAGAAGATGGAGAAAACATCCCACCTCCACCCAAGGAGCTGTTTCTCCCCACTCCTGGGCACTGGTAACACGGCTGAGAGACCCCAGGCACGGTGCGATGGACGGCCCCGGTGCCCAGGCAGCGGTTTGGGGCAGAAAGCAGGGATGCTGCGGAACGAAGGAGATGTGCTTCAGGGGACAGGGAAAAGGTGAAGGCGATGCCACAGGCTGGGAGGTGCAATGCCACCACCGTCCCCACGCCCAGGGGATGCCCGCCAGCACCCAGCAACCACGCCGGCTGTGGGAGCGCGGGGGAGAGGGCAGGATCCGTCCCCTTTTGTCGCCGCCGTGTAATTTATGATATGAGAGAGGGCCATTGTCTGGACCCATCCTGTATTTTTCCGAGGGCTTTGCCTCTCTTCCCAGACCCCCGCTGTGCTCCTGCTACTGTACCGTTGCTATGGGACGTGCTCCCCGCGCCGCGGCTATGCGGGGCAGTGCCGGGGAGGGCTGCCCGCCGCGGCCGGACCCATCTGGAGCCCCGAGCCCCGCTGCCGGCAGCCCAGCCGCTCGGTGGCCCCGCTGACGTGCCGAGGGCCTGGGAATGGGGCTTTCGGCCCTTCCAAGTTCACGGCCACCGGTGGCATTCAGCTGCCGGAGTGGGGGGGCAGCGGGATCTGGGGCGTTTGGCTCCATTCTCCCTTCCCTTTCAGCGCCGGCAGTGTCCTCGGCGCATACAGATCCCCCGTCCCTTTCTCCTCCTGACAAGTGCGCACATAAATAAATTACCCCACCGGGCGAGTGTGGAACAATCTGTCCCCTAAATTCTATTCATCGCCAGACAGGACCCATTATTCCCCCGATTAAAGCCGCTGGAGTAGCTTGCAAGGGTTACAGTTACTCTGTCAAACTGTAAATAAGACACTAAAAATAAAGGGCGCTGGCGAGAGAAGGGGGAAAGGGAAGCCAGACTAATGCCTGCTGCTAGGGAAACCGAATGAATCCCTAATGACGCCTGTGTACAAACTGCAAATAATGAAGGAAAAGTGACAAACAGACCTCGGCCGGGCTGCGGCGAGGTCCTCGCTCGACAGCGGTGACGGGGACCTGCTCGCCCCTTCCTCCGGAGAGAATCAACGGGGACCCCCTTCCCGCACCCCTCCGAGCAGGGCATTTAAGCCCCCGTCCTTAACTTGTAGAAAGGTTTAGGTGTGGTGGGTGTGTTTCTTTTTTAGGGACAGAAATCCCCTCTGCTTGAGCCTGCATCCCTTTTTGAGGTTGCACGGGGAAAACGTCCATCACTTGTGGCCTCAGGGCAGCGAGCAAAGAAGCAGCCCCCAAAACTTTAGTTTGTGTTCTGCTGCCAGGAGCAGCGCGTGGAGCTCTGCTGTAGGACAGGGCTAGAACCAGGCGGGGGTTTAAGTCTGTCTGTCTGCCCAGGGCCTGTCCCTCGGGCAGCAGGGGGTTGCGGCCCCGGCTCCTTCCCACTCGCAGCAGGTTGTCAGAGACCTGGAGCTCAGACCCGGGTCTGCTCCTCGCTGCTGCCTGTGCCCATGACAGAGTGCGGGGAAGATCTCCAGCCCTAGAAAGCCTCTTTGGATAAAATCCAATTCCTTTCTTGCTGCTCTCCTACCAGCCAGCAAAGATGGGGATGTTCACCTCGCAGCGGATCCTTCTTTTCCTCTGATACCTCAGAGCTGAAGAGGCGAGGCGAAAAATTCTCTGTGATAGGCTCATCTTGGGTTTTTCTCAGTTCCAGAGGGACCGAGCTGTGCACGTTTTATTTCAGGTCCAGCTCGAACTATTCCCATCACCTGCAAGGGGCTAAATCCTGGAATGCTCCCTGTGTTGCTCAGGGAAATATAATTGTGATTCATGTTATGCAAGCATGCAAAAGATGCAGCAAAGAGAGCTCCGAACTGTCCCTCTCCAGGTGGATGCTCGCTCTCAAAAGGAGAACCCCAAGCAGAGAAAATCTCGGCGGGGCCAGGCAGTACTGGGGACACAGCAGATGTGTCACTGGGCTGGAAACTGAGCTGTCATCCCCCCAGGTCTGTGCGGATGCCACGCTGCACGTCCATCCTCCCGCACAGCCCAGCAGCGCTGGAGTGTTTCTGGGACCTGAATCTGCAAAAAAAGCACCAAGGAAGGGCAGAGCCGAGAGCAGGGGAGCAGCGAGATGCCGACCCCTGCCCCGCGGTGAGGATGCTGCTGAGCATGGCACTCACCCGCTCTCCCACCAGCAGCAAAATCGCAAGGGTCCTTCTACAGGCAGAGGGGTTTCGAGAGATGTGGTCCAGCTTGGTGCTTTCACAAAGCTCAGGCATCTTAAAAGGGATTTTTCAGGCCAGCCGAACCAGTGTGGAGCCCAGTTGCATTTCCCAGTCAGGTCAAACCTCGGCTTAGCAGATTTCTTCCCTTTCCGTCTTAGGAAAAAATACCCTTTTCACCCCCAGTTTCTGGCTGCGAAGCCTCATGACTCCACAGCAGCATTCCTGGGACGTTCCCGACGTGGATTGGTATGTGCAGAATTTCAAACAGCGGCACATAACTCCACGTCTCCCGTGGGCTCCCCCAGCTGCACTCAGTTATTTGGGAGAAACTCCAGGACAGAGCAGCAAGGTTTATTATCGCTACTAGTGGTAGTGATGTCTGTGTAGCACCCGTAGACCCAGGTGGGTGGGTGTAGGTGGTGATGAAGGAAGAGGTGTGCTCCTGTCTCTCCCCTCCAAAATTTACCAGTTTAGTTGGGAAAAGAGAGCGATTTGGAAAAAGTCTCACAACCAGCCAGGGTTGAGCAAGTCAAACCCAAACCTGGGTTGTCCTGGTGCTCCCCAGCCATGGAAATGGGCAGCTCTGCGTGAAACCTGCTCCCTGGAGGTTGCCTTTAGAAGAGTGGTTGGCTTAGAGAGCCTAATCTCATCCTGGGAGAGGGTTTTGCTCCCTTGCCAGGGATGGCTTTGCTTGAGGATCAGGCCCTGGGAGCAGCTCCAGTGCCAGGGATGCACCCGGGAGGGTTCAGCTCCCCTTGAGATTGCATCGAGAATGGCAAGACTTAATGAAAATTAACTTACTTGCCTTTCCCTGCCTGAATCTCTTGGGTCACATTTTCCAAGGTTTCTCTCGACCTGTAAAAATATGGTTATTGCTATTTTTTTAAAATGAAAGCTATGATTCCCCTCCATGTTAATCACCTGGCTCCAGAAACTGGAGATTTAACGTGGTGTTTTATGAGACTGGCAGTTGCTGGCCCTTGAGCAAAGCATGTCCTGAACCTGGTTTACCCTACAGCCACCTAGAGAGATGAGGAAAATCAGACAGTCCTTGATATTAAATATCTCTGTACCACTTCTGAGAAGATCCCGTGCCTACCTGTCAGTCTTTCTTTTCCTCAAAATACCTGAATGTATTTTTTTTTTCCTATCTATGGACGTAATCTAGATGAGCCCATAAAGCAAGAGCTGGCAGCTCACGCTTCTCTTGGTTGGGCATTCAGAGATTGCTCAGCAGGGTCCTAAGGGCTACTTAAGGGCTTGTGGAGGCCGTGTTTCACTAAAACCCCTGCCAGTCCCCTTCCCTTTACAAGGATTAGGATGAGGCAAATACCTTCACTTTGGTTTAATTCTAAATACCTGATTTTGAAGGTGTTTGCTGGCACAGCATGCACACAATGCACACACGCTTGCAATAATAGCCAGGTAGCTTGCATGGCTAAATCACTCTGGATTTTTTTTTTTTTTTTTTTTTTCATTATAACCTCCTTTTAAAGCACGTTTAAATGCTTCCCCGCAGGCTCATGCAAGGGCTGTTAAGGGCTTCATTTGAATAAATAAGTGCACAGGTACAGGAGGAACATCACCATAACCCCCTGGAACCCCAAGCATCAACGATGGCATCAGAGAACTGGCAAGGGGGAGAAGGGGCTCGATGTTATATATTCCATAAAGTAGAGTAATTAAGTATTACTAGTTTTGATGACTTCAAACAGAGTGACTCCAGGAAATAAGCCCCTTCTTTATAATTAGTGGGATTTCCTCTGCATCAAACGGAGAGATTGATTCTTTAATCTGCTCACATGCTTTTGATTTGGTCTTTCAGCTGCTTGTACCAACTGCTTCTACTCCCTGCTCTTGCCGATAAAACCTTGCAAAGGAGATTTTAGGAAGGCATGACCTGAGTTGAGGTCTAGGATTTTCTTTGTGTGTGGCTGTTTTGTGTATTCTTAATTTGCCAGAGATGATGATCATGATGATAGCAATAGTAAAAACAACAGACATAGATTTTTAACACCCGTGTATGTTTAGGTCAAATAATTGGGCTTTGGGGGGGATTTTTGTTATTGTTTTCTCTTCCCAACACACTTATTAGCTCTCACGCACGCTCTTTAAGACCTGCAAAGATCTTTTTGGCTACCTGTCTGCAATAACCCTGAGCTGTCCCAAGTGGAGCTTACGGCCAAATGTACTTACTCTTGTAGGAGAGCACAGACATAACGCTGGGGTCTGGCCAGGCTTTCGAGGGCTCAGTTAAAATAAGGACTTGATTTCTGAAGGACTTGGGATGTGCAGAGGAAAGACACCCTTTTTCTAGAGTATTTCAAGTGTTTGGTTCTGATTTAGGACTAAACCCAGGAACTTTGGAAGCTCTGGCTGAAATAGAATCCCTCCAGATGTTGGTTCTTTCCAAGTGAAGGGTTCAGGAGGGAGCAGGAACTTGCCTCCCCCTGCAAGTGCAAGAAGCCGATCGTGAGCAACCAGCTCCTTCCCGGGCATCTCCGTGGGGTCGGTGGCACCGTGTCAGTCGTATGGGAAATTCAGTCTGGGGTCTGTGCTGGTTCCAGGCACGGACTGAACCCACCTCGTGCTACCCCCACCTCCAAAATTGCTCAGATCTTGAATCGTCCCAGCAAACAGCCCCCAGGCTGGATTTCTTTCCGGTATGTGAGGTTCTTCTGGGACTGCTGAGGAGGGAAAAAATGGGGGAAATTTGGGACTACGCTGTTTTCCATCTACCTTTTGGTCTTGTTGGAAAGGTGCAACATGGGGAAGAGAGAGGCTTGGGGTGTTGCACCTCGACTGCGTCCCTTTGAGCGAAAATCAGAGGGTGGTGGCTCTGCAGGGGGGGTGTTTTGGTAGCTGCAGAGCTGGGACTGGCGTCCCAACCACAACCCCTCTTTTCCGAGGCCGGCGTCGCTCTCAGTGCATCTCACACACAAATAGGGTGGTGGTGGTGGGGGGGAACAAGCACAGGGCTGTCCCCACCGCGATTTGGTGGTCACAAACCTGCAGGGAGGAGCTGTGGGAAGAGGGGGGGGGGTCGTACCTGAGCTCACCTGGAGCCAGGATCAGGCTGGGGGGAGAGCTGGTTTAGTATGCCCCTCGCAAGCCTCCCCTCGTCTGGAGCAGTGTTGAACACAGATCGTATAATTAGAGACCCGGTTGAATACGTAACTGTACAATTATGCAAATAGTGATCAAAATCACTGTTTTCAGCAGAAATGCCTGAAGATCAAGACAGAAGCTTCATGCAACCTTAATTTAATCTGGTCCTGCAGGAGTGGGGAGGTCTGATGGATGACCCAACCTTGCGCCTGCCTGTGTTTAGCAAGGCTGGGGTGGGAGGCGGGGGAGAGGAGCGCCGGAGCATGCTAAGCGAGGGCTCCGCGCAGCCGGCGAGAGGGAAAAATGGCACCGGGATCCTGTTAGCGTGTTGGCAGACGGGGGGGGAAAAAATAGCAGACGTGGAAGTGCTGATGTTTACAGTGATTTTCTCTCTCTTTTGATTTCAGGTGAATAACACGAGGCTGGAAGGAAAAAAAAAAAAAAAAAAAAAAATAGGAAGGAAAGAAAGGAAGAAAGTCCCCAAACCCAGGAAATCTGTGTTAATTGCTTATGAATGTCTCTGTCTAAAAAAATTATTGAATTGATGTTGTCGTGGGTTTTTTTGACAGCCTGTCTGTTACATTTTTTTAAAATATTCATGTACCGAAATCTAATTACTAGGCAAATTTAATGATAATGAAATGAAGGCACTTTAGCAGAAAGCACAGGGCCTTGTTAATGTTTTCTCAGCCTCTGTCTTGTTCATATTTTTAAAATATTTTTTTTTTTACAACTGCCTTTCTTGCATAAAAAAAAAAAAAAAAGGATTGCTGAAAATAAAACTTGAATTGCTGAAAATGTTTGTGGTGGCTCTGTTTATAATGATGGGGAATTTGCAAGGTGATTAAAGGTGTTTTGCAAAAATCAAATGAGACTAACCTAATCAGATAAGGCAGATGAAATATTATTATTAGAGAGGTAACATTAAGAGCGTGCCTGGGGGCTTTAACGCAGATGAAGACCTTGGTGTGCTGGCTGAGGTGTGTGTGCAGAGGCAACACCACCCTTGACATCCTCTGGACCTCTCCAGCCTCTCTTTGCAGGGCACAGGTCTTGGCTGAGCCCTCCTTAAACCAGGCCTGGCTGGACAGAGCACACATGTGATGGATGGAGCACACATGTGATGGCTGGAGTGTGGTTGTGATTCATGGAGAATGCACATGATGGATGGAGCATGGATGTGATGGAGCATGGATGGGATGGTTGGAGTGTGGTTATAATTCATGGAGAATGCATGTGATGATGGGAACACACGTGGTGGTTGGAGCAGACATGTGATGGTTGGAGCATGGGTGTGATGGATGGAGCACACATGTGGTGGAGCATGGATGTGGTGGATGGAGCACACGTGGTGGATGGAGCATGGATGTGATGGATGGAGCACACATGTGATGGAGCATGCATGTGATGGATGAAGCACGCATGTGATGGAGCATGCATGTGATGGATGAAGCACACATGTGATGGAGCATGCATGTGATGGATGGAGCACACATGTGATGGAGCATGCATGTGATGGATGAAGCACACATGTGATGGCTGGAGTGTGGTTGTGATTCATGGAGGATGAATGTGATGGAGCATGCATGTGATGGTTGGAGCATGGATGTGATGGATGGAGCATGCAGTGATGGATGGAGCACACATGTGATGGATGGAGCACACATGTGATGGAGCATGGATGTGATGGATGGAGCACACATGTGATGGTTGGAGCATGGATGTGATGGATGGAGCACATGTGATGGAGCATGGATGTGATGGATGGAGCACACATGTGATGGAGCATGCATGTGATGGATGGAGCACACGTGATGGTTGGAGCATGGATGTGATGGATGGAGCACACATGTGATGGATGGAGCATGCATGTGATGGATGGAGCACACGTGATGGAGCATGGATGTGATGGTTGGAGCATGGATGTGATGGATGGAGCACACATGTGATGGTTGGAGCACACATGTGATGGTTGGAGCACAGGTGTGATGGAGCATGGATGTGATGGATGGAGCACACATGTGATGGTTGGAGCACACATGTGATGGTTGGACCACAGGTGTGATGGATGGAGTGTGGTTGTGGTTCACGGAGAATGCACACAGTGGTCAGATCACGCACCAAGCTCCCACCACCCCAGCTCCACCTGCCCTAGGTGCCTCCTGCACCCCAGCTGGACGGGCAGCAAGGGGAGTGTTATCACCTGGGTGGTGGAAACAGGCTGTGATCCAATCCCTGGGCCTGAGGAGGTGACACCTGAGAGCCATGAGCGAACAGGGCAGGGCCAGCCTGGGCTCCTGGGGCCGTTACCCTATTTAAAGGAGGGCACAGAAGAGCTTTGCTTTCTTTCTACCTTCATCTCAGCTGCTGCCCTTGCTGTGGTGGGCATCCATTCCAGCGCTGGTCCTCCTGCCTCTCAGGTTGGTCTCTGTTACTTTTAGGTTTCTTAAGGGTCTGGCAATTTTATTGAGGATGAGAACAGTTTTACTGAGGCAGTTGGTGACCCTGCTTGTATTTGTAGGGTCTGTTCTTCTGGAAGACCTTCACGAAATTGTTTTTGTAGTGGCTGCAGTGCCCAGGTGAAGGTGATGTAGGGGGGAAGGGGAGCACAGTTGGCCTTGCTGGCTCTGAGTAGCTGGAAAGTGGGACCCCCGACGTGGGGTGACTGGAGGCCAAACTGGCACAATGGGTCTCAGGTATCCCCAGCAGGGCTCAAAGCGTGGGGTCTCTGTCGTCCTTGTTCCCATGTGCCCTGGGTACCTTGTAGGAATGAAGTGAGATGGGAATTTGCAGTCCTGGCTGTGAATGTGAGTAGGCAGAACTGGCTTTTTCTCCCTAGAAATGCTGCTCATTGCATGCTGAGGGGGCACGAAGGACAGCTCGGTGGGCTTGCACAGCCGTGGAGAGTCTTGAAGGAGGACTGTCAAAGGCCAGGAGACACTTTGGACCTCTCTTGACTTGCAGATTCTGTGCTCCCTCGGTTGAGGGCAGGAGTCCCTGCTTGGCCCTCCTTGCCCTGCAGATCAGCTTTCTGGGCTGTGGCAAACCTCTTAGAAGCAGCTCCTGGACCACATTAATCCCCTTAATTCTTCCTGCGACCGTTCCCTTGTGGTGATCAGCAGCCAGAAGGCTTCCTGACACCATCTCTGAGCTGCTGTGTTTAACTGTGGAGGGATCAACCTCCCCCATAAGTGAAGGGAAGACCGTTGACCCTCTTCGTGCCTCTGGTTTCTACCCCTCCAGCAGCAAAGGCTTGCATGTGCAGAGGGCGGTGTGGAGGATGGGGGGAGCTCCCTGCCTGATCCTAAATCTGTTACCACGCAGAATTTGGGGTCTGGATTTACAGGCATGCTTCCTCGGCGCTTGAGGTCTTTGCAAAAGTTCTGGCTCCCTCCTCTCCTGCCAGAGCCCATCCCCATCGTCAGAGCGGTGCTGATGAAATGCTGTGGCAGGAAGAGGTCAGGAAAATGGGAAGGGGTTGCAGACTGGTGTGGGGGTCTCCAGCTCCAGGACCCCACAGATGCATTTAGTAAAGGCTTTTTCATCTCTTTTTTTTTCTGGGCTTCTCCACCCGTGCCTCTTGGCTCCTAAAGTGTTTGATGTGGTTGCTCCCTGCCCTTTAGCTCCTCTCTGGGGGTTTCAATGGGGGAGCAGAATAGTTTCTGGGTTCGCTCCATTTGGGGACCAGTTTGATGTTCAGTTCTGTGTTGAGAGAAAAAAAAAAAAAAAAACCTTTCCGAGTGGACTCGGGAGCGTTCACAAACTTGCACATTTGCACACATCTATGTTTGTTTTACAGAGCTCTTTGAGCTGCATTTATCCTGCCAAAATGACAGTTTTCTATTAGAGAGCTGCAGCCCGACACGATGATTATAATTGTCACTAATTTCTTTCTTTTGCAATCAGGTTTGTACCTTGACACACTGGCATAAAATGAGGCAGATTCCCCCCCTTCAGAGCACGGCTGGCTCTCAAAATATTTGTAAAGCCCTGATTTCTTTAGGGGAAGCTGGTGCAGCTCTGGTGTCTCTGCTGAGATGCCCAATTTCAGCTGATGGTGAGGAAGGGGCAGTATTAGCAACGTGCAGACCATGAGCTGGGGACTGGGAACGTTTCATGCAAACACTTTTGGAAGGGGCAGACACTCCTCAGAGAAGACAAATCCCAAACCAAGCCTAGGGAAGGCTGGATGGGAGGGATGAAAGGCTCTGCCCTGTCTTTGATTTGGGGTGGAGAGTCCCAGGACTGGGCAGGGCTCTGCACCAAGGTCCTCTTGCCATGATGCACCTTCCCAGGGCAGAGTCTCTTGCTGCTGGCCTTGGTGAGGGTCACCGCCTGCTTTGCTGGTTGGGCTTTTTCCACTGAAATTCTGTTAAATCAGTATAAATGTGATGTAGTGGGCAGGAAGGCAACCGGTGGGAGGAGTGAAAAGAGGCTGTGGGGCTTGCGAAGGTTCAGAGAGGGGGGTGAGAAGCGCTTCTGAATTGCTTCTGCATTTCTACTGGGGTCATGAGAGGAGAATTTGGCCCTCTTATTTATTTATTTTTTAGCTTAAGCCTCTGAAGAGTGCTGCAGAGATTCCCAGGGGGTATCGGTTGGCAGAAGTCCCATGATACCCTCAAAAATATCCCCCCAAACAGAAATAACTCTGTAAAACAAAGCAGTGGATTGTTCAGCCAACTAAAATTACCAGCATGTCAAATAAAATATGTACAGCATTAAAATAAAATTTGCATTGCAATAATGCTTTATTAAGCACATTAGGAGATTAAAAGAATCAACCCATTTGTTCCCATTCACGTTGCGTCAGGATTTGCATTTCTTTTTTCCCCACCTCCAACTAGCCCCTCTCCCCGTGCTTGTTTGGGGAGTGATTTTCTCAAGGAACCTTGCAAAGATCTCCCCGAAAGAAGGTGTGTGTGTGTGTGTATGCTGAGGGGTTTTTTAAATCAAAGCACTTGACTCGGTTGTGTGTTTGTCTGCATGAGTGTGCAGCAGAGGAGGGGTGGAACGGAGAAGAAAAGATTTGTCTGCTCCCATTTCAGCTAAAATGGTTAATTAAGACAATAGAGGCTATATAACAATTGGGGCCGGGGCCGTGAATGGTTGTCTAGACTCTATAGTTCAGCTGCAACTTCTCCGTCGGAATTTTAACTTGGCCAGGCTCGTTTCCCCTCCCCTTTTTCCCCGCCTCTCAGCTCATGTCCATAAGTTCCCTTTTCTCTTTTGTTTGTTTTTTTTTTGTCCTTAATCAATCTTTTGAGAGATCGGGGCCGGATTGACAGCTCTGCCTGTCTGAGGTCTTGTGTTTGCCACGGCGCTGCCTTCCCAGCGCCCGAACCGGAGGCATCATTGTTAGTGGAGCCGCTCTGCTCCTGGACGGGCCTGATCCTGGTGCAGGGAGAGGGGCTGAGACCAGGTCTTGGGGCATAGTAGAGCGGGACCTTGGTATAAATGAGAGAGAATTCTTTTTTTTTAACACTGGAAGCTTTGGAGAGGGCTGGGGGGGAAGTGAGGGGGTTGGTGCTCAGTGTTTTGGGGTCCTGGCATGGAGGGTGCAGCCAGGGTTTACCCGAGTTGCGTTGCTCTGGCTCTTGTAATCCTGATTTCTCTGAGCCGGGGCTAATCCTGCTCTTGGGATCTCTGTGGGGCGAGTGGGTGAGGCTGGACAGTGTGAAGCCAAGTGCTGCCAGGTGGTTTTTCTGGGCAAGGTGTCGCGCAGCCGCCTTCCTGCCGCACATCTAGAGTGGGAATTGGGTTTGTG